CTCGGAGCCCAAGGAGCCACCGCAGTGGCCGAGAGTGTAGGAAAGCTCGTGAATTTGAACCATGTGGTGCTCAATTTCCAGTACAACAGACTCGGAGCCCAAGGAGCCACCGCAGTGGCCCAGAGTCTCGGAAAGCTCGTGAATTTGAACCATGTGGAGCTCAACTTCGATGACAACAGCCTCGGAGACCCAGGAGCCACCGCAGTGGCCGAGAGTCTCGGAGAGCTCGTGAATTTGAACCATGTGGTGCTCAATTTCGATAGCAACAGACTCGGAGCCCAAGGAGCCACCGCAGTGGCCAAGAGTCTCGGAAAGCTCGTGAATTTGAACCATGTGGTGCTCAATTTCGCCTTCAACAACCTCGGAGCCCAAGGAGCCACCGCAGTGGCCGAGAGTGTAGGAAAGCTCGAGAATTTGAACCATGTGGTGCTTAATTTCGAGAACATCGGCCTCGGAGCCCAAGGAGCCACCGCAGTGGCCCAGAGTCTCGGAAAGCTCGTGAATTTGAACCATGTGCAGCTCAACTTCAATGGCAACAGCCTCGGAGACCAAGGTCGGCGGGCATTGAAGTCGCTTGAGGAGCAGGTCGCCGCGCGCTGCAGCATTAAAGTATAGTAACATAATTCGCACTGCAGCTTCCATGTAGCTTAGTTTCGCATAGCTTCGCGTGGACAACTCACGTTGTTTCACCGCGTTTCACTTGTCGCATGAAAAGACGCCACGGACGAAGCTCCGTGAACTCGGTCACCGAATCACCGGCCACTGCGTCGTTTTTGGGAGACCTAGGCCCCGGCTGTATGGCACGGCTGTGGCGCCACTTGGATGGATTGGTTGGGAAGTCGTGTGTTTTAAGCTTAAAGGTTTTGCCTTTGGGACCACGGCTTTTCAACCCGGTTCTTGTCGAACTTTGGTTTCGTTCCGCTTGGGTCGTGGCCACTTCTTGATCTACAGGCGGGCTCTAGCCGTGATGCTTGCAGGGTTTGCCCAATCCTGTTTACTATGTGTTCTTTTGTTGCCGTTTGTTCCCTTGTTGGGCACCAAAAAAAGCGTCTTGGTCTCTTCAGAAGAGGTAAAACCGTGCAGCCCGAGCGGTGCCGTCGATCTCTTGTTTCCTTGACGTCGATGGTGAGGGGGTGTGGTGTGACGTGGAAGATGGTGATCCCGGGATCGAACCCAAGGAACGTACATTGATCACCCACAACCCCCAGCCCGTCGCCGACACCGATAGGTACCTGAGTGCATCGACAAGATCCAGATTCCAGGCCGGGAGTTTGAAGGCGGATCAACCCAAAGAGGTGCCCTAAGAACTTAGTCGTCCATAATTTTATTGTTTCAACATGAAGCTGACCGGTGGTGTTGAAGCTGACTGTTGTCAATTGTCTCCTATTTTTCGGATGGGTTGGTGCGTTCGTAGCCGGCTCAAGACGCCAGTTTGACACCATGACGAAGGGTTTGCTTTTGTTGCTGTCTTTTCTTTTGCCTAGTTCGACATGTGCAAAAGTTCTGACTGGAGAAGTGCTATGGGATGGCGCTTCAGACATTCACAGGAAGATTTGGTTATCCCCTTTCATTTCAGAGGCGTGCAGTGGGGACTTGGATGTCTTGGAGTTCAGCCAGTACATGGTGCAAGACATAGGTTGTTTCATGCCAGGGGTCATCAAAGTGCTGCATGGCCTCCAAGACAGGTCCCTCAAAGAACAAGGGACGAGTGGCAATTTGACCGTCTACTTTTGTCAGCTGCACAGTCGTTATGTCACTTACTTGGCTGAGGAAGGCAGTGGTTGGCACCTGCAAAACGTGACTTGCAGCAATTCCTGCCAGGCTTATGTGGATTTTTTGGGAGACGTTGCTCGGAACAAACCTTTGGAACAGTCAGTGATTGCTTTTGCTCCCTGCACTGTTCTGTGGGAATGGCTGGGCTGGAAGATGAGCAGCTGCAAGGGGCTAAGCAAGAATGCTTACAAGACTTGGATCGCAGGGTTGGGCGGCAAATCTTCCATTGTGCATCAAATTGACATTACATCCTACCCTGTTCAGCAGTCCATGAAAACCTTCAGAGCTGCCATGATCCATGAACTCGATTTCTTCAACTCAGTGAGTTCCCATGCACCTTTGGCAACGACGACCCTGGCGACAGCGACGTCGGACAGTGAAGGATGGTATGTCCTAGTGGTCCTAGTGCTGGGCATTTTGTTGGTGGCTATGTGGGCAATGGCAGCATGGAGGAGGGTGGAGGCAGAGCCTTTGGAAAGACATCTCTTGAACATTTAAATATCAATGTTCGACAAGGTGGGCACCAGCGTGAAAACGGTGACTGCTTCGCCGCTCGAATAAGTGGCTTGGCGCAGCGCCAACCAGATAAATAATGGCAACGTATTGGGTTTGTCCCATTACCTGCAACAGTCAGTAAACAGTCAGTAAACAGTTATCACTATGTTGAACAAGGCCTTTACTAACCATCATCATTTATGGTTACTGGTAATAGGACAGACCCAAACAATGTAATATCATCACCTTATGATTGAAACAACGCAATAACATCATAATGATACCAGAGAATGGTTCAGTCCAATGGTGTGCCCCGAGTCATCCCGAGTCTATATTCTGAAAGCTCATCGTGGCTTAGACGGACAAAAAGGATCATGGAAGTTGGTTAGAAAATATCCAAGAGACCTCATTGTTGCTTGCTTAAAGCACCTCTTTCCTTGGCAAAGTTATACCTCTCCACTCCAGGCATCTTCGGTCTCATCAAGTCCAAGGAGGTTGGCAAATCTGAACGCATGGAGAACATGTATGAAAACGTCCTCATGAAAACAATTGACAATTTTTGGGGTACAACTACGTAACGATGGTTTCTAATTTCGGATCAACTTGGTTCGTGGAACTCGACCATCTCCGATTTGGTTCGGCAGAAAATCGCACCGGTGTTGGCTATCAAAAAGGCTTGAAGGGTATGTTTGGTGAAGTGGCGAAATCATGTTCCATTAGTTTTCAACAACTGTTTTCTGGTGCAATCAGATGGGAATTGGGGTTTCACAGTTTCACCCAAAACCACCGACTGAAGCTCACCTCTGCAGTTGTCGAACCCTGAGAGCTCCCTGGTGTTGGCCGACGGCCGAAGCACTGAGCAAAGGCGCGTTGAACAGGGAAGTTAAACTGGAAGCTACTAGTAGCGATGGCCTCCAATCTAATAGCTTCTAGCTACTAGTCGTAATGGCCTCCAACCTACCATATAGTAGTAATGCCCTTGTTGCTAGTTAAGCTTGAAACAAGTTGATGTTTCCCAGACTTGTTCCACATGTTCCATGGATGTTGAACAGAAGTGGCTCAAGTTTGTGCAAGTCCCCCCTGTTCCCTATCGAGTCCTATGGTGTCCTGAGTGTGGCCAAAAAAGGCGTCCACTCCCAAAGGATCAAGCATTAGACTCAAAGTATTAACAGGCGGTGAGTGAGTGAGCCAAAATACAACCTTTTGTGCGTCGGCTCATTATGAAATCCTTGATTCAAGTCTATACAAAAATTGAAAAATCCATTGCACGAAGGGAGTAGCCCAGTGAAGCCGAAATCTTGAATAATATAACCCCAGAAATAACGTCTACGATTTTTGCCCGGCAAAAGTTTTACCATAGAACAGTTACCTGAGTTTCCTGTTTCTTTTGGTTTGATTTCCTTTCAACTCGTATTGATGTCCTTATCGGTTTAATTCTTATTGATGTCCTTTTATGTCCTATGGATTTCGTTTTATTTCCTAGTTACTATTGGCGATGCCCTTTGTTACTAGTGGCTTCATGCCAGGAGCTACTAGTAGCGGCGTAGCGTTCTTGCTACTAGATGTATTTGAAAGCATTAATGTATTGTAGATTTTACCTAGTAGGTGCTGGCCAGTGACTTCCACCTAAGTGTTTTTATGCTTTTGGTTGCTTCCATGGATGGTTTTAGC